GTATACGTTCAGTCTTCAAAAGAGTTCGTGCATCTGTTCCCAATGAATTTAATTTCTGATTGTATGAATTCTGATGAATAAAATCTGATTTTATAATTTTTAATAAATCACTAATAGCTGTTTGTGCGATATAATGCCCAGTTGCCGAATGTCGAAGATGATTTTCAAAAATATCAAGTGATGAATTAGAATGTGCAGACAATATTTCAGATGAATTAATGTCTAGTGAATTTTGAGATAAAAAATTGTTGTGCACTGTACCTATACATGTATTCATTGGAGTACACAAAGAATCTTGATTGTTTCGTTGAATGGATATGGTGGAATCAACCACTTCCTTTCGTACATATTTATTAATATTCATTTTAGCGTTTCGCTTTATAATCCTCTTTAAATATTGGTCGGTGTGACAGTTTTTATAGAATTGAAAATACATTCATAAATGTAAAACTACTTTAGTAACTCATGCAACAATTGAAATGATAATGTGTGTAATCTTACCTTATGAATACGTGATGTGCTTACTTTATCGTCCATTCTACGGTTTCGGATTGACCTAATTGGAAACAACGAGGTGTAAATAGAAATAAAGTAAATAAAACATAAAGTAAGCAATAAAAAAATCAGGTGATAGCTTTTGTGATTGATGGAGATTAGTTGTTGTTGTCAATCGAGGGATCGGATAGGTGTAGGTGTAACTAAAGTTGTATCTAATTTCCTTCCCTTGATTATTATATTTTACCTTGATTCGTCTACAGATTTCTCGAGCTCATTTCTACACACACTCTAACACAACGGCACGGCTTCTCCACACACGTACATATCCCCTCTCTCCACAACGTACATGCCACCTACCTTAACACTTCCCTTCGTAGAGAAAAGAAAATTTCTTCATGTAACTGTATTGTGCATATGGTTTATAGGTGTTTACAACGTCTATTTCTAATTCGTAGTCCTTTAAGTAACTCGGTTTTCTTCTTTGTCTTATCGGTCTTGTTTGTATTGATTCCGACGTTGAAGTTTCCTGAGTGAGGTTCCTACTTGTACTTTCTTCCTCCTCCTGCGTAATCCCTTGATGAGTTACCGATTCTGCTCGTGATCTTACTGGACTTGTATTTCCTGTATTTATAATTTCTTCTGTATCTATATGATAGTCTGGCAAATGTGTGTTAAGTGACCGTTGCACCCTTGCATCTTCACCGATTTTCCTCAGTTGGTTTACATGTCGAGTCCATTTTCTACCATCGTCTAGTTCGATTATGTAGTGTAAACAATTTTGAAAATTGATCTTGACGTACGCGTCTTGTTGGTGTAGTCGGTCTTAATAGGTCTAGTTTAGTTCGTACTTTTCTGTTGAACATAAGTTCATACGGAGTTTTTCCCGTAATCGTATGAGGTATACCTCTGTAACTCGTGAGTATGGAGAGTAATGAACTTTCCATTTCAGATCTTTCTGGACTCAACTTTTTTAATGCGCCTTTAATGATCTGTACGTATCTTTCTGCTTGTCCATTTGTCGAAGGATTGTATGGTGCTGTTGTTTTGTGCACAATGCCATTCTTGGCTAGGATATCTTTAAATTCCTTTGCTACGAACGTTCTTCCGTTGTCCGTAATGATCAACTTTGGTAATCCGAAGTATGCAAAAATTTGTTTGCACTTTTTAATTGTAGTTTCGGTCGTGATATTTTCCACAATGTGCACTTCTGGCCATTTTGAGTACGCGTCGACAAGTATAAAAAACATTTTTCCAAGAAACGGTCCCGCGAAATCCACATGTACTCTTTCGAAAGGACTTTTTGGTTGTTTCCATGTATGTTTTTCCACTTCTGCTGGATTATTCTTGTACATATTGCACTCTGCACAGTTTTTTGCAATCTCTTCTATGTCTTTGGTTATATTCGGCCACCAACAGTAGCCTCTCGCGAGATTCTTCATTTTGGAGATTCCAAAATGACCTTGATGCAACTCCTCCAGTACTTCCTTCCTCAAACTTTTGGGGATGACTATACTTGATGTCCACGTATTAATACTCCGTTCTCGATGGCGAACTCTCTTTGGTCTATGTTCCATCTGTCTTTGGCTTTAAGCGTAATACTGTTCCTTAATGCATCTAAAACCTTACTTATTTCTAAGTCTTTACTTGTAGCTTTGATCACTCTTTCTGCCGTAACAGGTAAGCTATCAAATGTGTCAATGAAGAATGCATCAATAGTGTCTCTGTTTGAACTGTCTTCCGGCAATGGAAGTCTGGATAAACAATCGGCATTCGCATTTTGTTCCGATTTCTTATATTTAATTTCAAAAGTATAAGCTTGTAAAAAGATAGCATAATGTTGCATTCTCATTGCCGCATGTACAGGTAAACTCTTTGTCGGCGACAAAATTTGTGTAAGTGGTCTGTGGTCAGTCACTAAAGTGAATTTATTTCCAAATAGATATTGGTGTAGTCTTTTAATCGCGTAAACTATGGCAAATGCCTCTTTATCTATTTGAGAATATTTCCTCTGACTTGTAGACAGACTTTTTGAAATGTATTGGATGGCTCGCTCACTGCCATCCGGATATTTGTGTGACAAGACTGCCCCAATACCGTATGGGCTCGCATCCGTCGCTAAAATTAAAGGTAATTTTGGGTTGTAATGTGCCAAACAGTTCTTATTCTGAAAAGCTTGTTTTGCGCGTATGAATGCATCTTCGCACTCTTTAGACCAGAAAAATTTATTGTTTCCGCGTAATAATTTGTAAAACGGTTCTAACAATATCATTGCATCTTTTATAAATCTACTGTAGTAGTTTATAAATCCTACGAAAGCTCTTACTTCGTGAGTATTCTTAGGTCTAGGCATCTTTTCGATGGCTTCAATTTTTGTATCATCTTTATGTATACCGTTTCTATCTATTACGTATCCACAATATTTTATCTGATCTCTGAAAAATTCACATTTTTCCGTATTTATTTTAATATTGTATGTATTTAGTCTTTCAAATACTTGTTGAAGTCTTTTTAGATGTTCTTTTTTTGTAGGAGCCGTAACTTTAATGTCATCTAAAAACACTTCGACACCTTCTAACCCAGCAAGTATATTCTCTATTTCTCTTTGCAAAATTGCAGGAGCAGAGGCAATTCCGTACAATAACCTGTTGCATTTGAATAACCCCATATGTGTACTTAAAGTCAGCAGTTCCGCGCTTGGTTTCGGCAGCCATAAACGCCTCTCAAGCTTTTTCCGGTATTTTGTAGATGTTGTCTCCATTTATAAACTTCCTCACTTACACGTTTTCCTTTCCAATAATATCCTTTCGGATTTTCACGAGGCATTTTGACAAAGAAACAACGCGATATAATTCATATATCGAATTGACATAAGCGCCTAACGAAAGCGAGGTTCCCAGATTTACTGCGCACACTCGGAAATACGCAAGTCAAGCAAGTTCTTTTTCTCTTTGACTTACTATGTACCAGATGAAGCTCCTTAAGGATTGCGCGGACCATTTCCAGAGCGAATCATTTCCTGCAGAGAACATTCCAAAACATTTCTTTCGTAACAAAAGTGTATAATGTATAATGAAAGATATAAAACTCCTATTTCTCTCGTGTTCAATACTTTTTAAGAAATTGTCAAGAATGATTGCATGTAGAATTAATAATTTTTTTTGCGTAATCTTTATTTCTTATACATTCATTTGCAATGCCTAATATGCGTAATACACAATTTAATACATTGAAATGATGTATCAATTCATCTGGTACTTTTTCTTGAAATGCATCTGGTACTGTACATAATGTAGCCAGTCCCAATTCAGTTGAATCTGTCTGCTTGTTATGTCCTGAAGTAAAGGAGGTTGCTCAACAACGGAGAATGGAAGATAAGATCATGTACTGTCTACAGATTCCCTTTACTGACTCCGATTTCCGTACATACGTCTCCTCGCACGCGGATAGATCTCTACGCAGCTGGTGCGCAGTATAGTTCCGTTGCCCCGGTGATACTGCTCCGCTCCCTACCCCCATGCTCGCGTCCTGTCACTGACCCAACACTATTTATGAACTATTCTTTTCGAAGCATTTGAACAAGTGCCATAAAAATATGAAAAAAGTTTAATGTGTTTCTCGCCTTCATCTAGCACGTGCATTGGATCAAGAGAAACTGGATTTGTTAAAGTGAAACCTATAAATTCAAGAGGAGATATCAAATTTATGTAAGCATTAGGAACATTGATTCTAAAGTTATCATCAACATTTTCCGTACTCGGTATCACGATCAAGTCTTTTCTCTATTTTAGTTAATTGCTGAAACGGCATGGTTCGACCGCCTGAGAAGCTAATTTCATCGTTGTTCCATGGCAACCCAACTTCCCACTCAGCTCCGTTGTGACGATTAGTCTTCTCTAATATTTCCAATGCTCGTCTATCTTCCCGCTTAATTTTAATGTGACTACTCACGCGTAGCAATTTAATATCGAAATACTGCTTAATCAATTTGTCTGCTACTTTTTTTTTGTTTCATTGAGCTTTTCAAACCCTTTTGGGTTTATTTCGCTTTACAAAAATTAACATACCTTGTTTACATATTGATACGAATACATAAGAAAAATACAATACATAATACATAAGGGGAAATACATGTTCTTCTTTCAGTACTCCTAAATTTTTAGGTTACAATATCTGGTTTCGCAATGAGGATGTCTATGTCCAAAGGTAGTTGGTAGCCTAACTCGAGTAGGGACTTAGTAAGCTTCGGTCTTCTTGCCGTGTAGAGTTCGCATTGCCATAGTACATGGTTTAAAGTTTCGGCATACTGTTTACAATTACATTTGCAATCCTTAATTATGCCAGCTCGGAATAAGGAAGAAGTTAGATTCAAATGATCCGCTCGCATTCTATTTATTGTGACGATTAGGCTTCTACTCAGTTTTCTTTTATGGAACCAAGGCACAGCGGCTTCGTTATAAAACTTTTGGAAAAATTTTTTGCCTTTATATAGGCCTTGATTTATGATAGTTTCCGTAGTATGTTCTTTAGCTCGTTTTCTAAATTTTTCATATAAGTCCGTGTAAGGAATTTTAGGAATATCTTGGATATTCTGAAAGGTTGCCGATTTAGCCAATTTATCTGCATCCTCATTTCCCAGTATTCCCAGGTGGGATAGTATCCAAAATAATTTAACGAGGCTGTTGTATTTCTTTAGCATAAAACCGTTATGCTTTTCCTTTACTTCGAGTACGTAAGAATTGATCCTGGCATTAGACTTGAAGTATTTTAGTGCTTTTAAGGAGCTGAGGGAATCTGAAAAGATGAGAAAGCTGTGTTCTTAATGGTCCAGGGCAATACTGAGAGCATCGTTCAACGCAATACATTCTGCGGTAAATATAGAAGCAGAAGGATTGATAGTGTGTGTTATTTGTATGTCCAGCTTTGGGCAGATACACGCCGACCCCACATTAAGTCTAGATATTTTACTCCTGTCAGTATAAATTTTGTAACAGTCCTTGAAATCTGGGATATCATTAATAAGGTTAACGTTGTTTGTAGATTTTATCTCTATACCTACTTTATCGTCAAAAGGAATAGAAGTTAGGGTAGTCTTATAGTCAAAACAATGGACTGCTAAGTTTTCTCGATCATCGATTTCATGTACCCTCAGGTTAGATATGAGGCGTCTACTAAGCAACCTTTTCTGCTTTAGGATTTTTCTTCTTTTGCACCAGTTACCATAGGCCTTAACAGTCTTGAAAGTGAGAGAGCTATAGTTTGATAAAGTTTTGGCCAGGAAACTGTCACATAGCTGAGTAACACGATCTCTAAATGTTGTCAGCTTAGATTCCCCTAATAATACATTTAGAGAAGTAGTTGTGCGATAGCCTAGAGCTAGTCTAATAGCGGTATTTTGAATCTTCTCTATCTTTTTCGAAAGCATTTTTTGGGAGGGGAAGTAAACGAAAGAACCATAATCAAGGATGGATCGGATATAACTTTTATACAGTATTATAAGGGTTTCAGGGTCGGCCCCCCACCATGTACCACGGACGTATTTGATAATATTGAGAGCTTTCGAGCATTTCTTAGTAACGAGATCAATATGCAGTTTGAATGTAAGCCTGTAGTCAAAGACAATTCCTAGAAAGCGAGCAGATTCACTGGCAACTATAGTATAATTTTGAAATCTGATTTGGGTGCTGTTTGGCATTATATTTTTATTATTGAACCGGACAATTTTCGTCTTATGCGGAGCAAAGACAAGCCCTAGTTTGCAAAGATTTTTGCTAATTATGTTAATGGCGTTAACTATTGTGCTTTGAGCTCTTATAATATGTTGAAACTTCACATAAATAGCGATGTCATCGGCGAACATAGCAACATGGACATTTCTGGGTATATTGTTTGTAATGTTAGCGACATAGAGTATGTAAAGTAAGGGACTAAGAACTCCTCCCTGCAGGACCCCTTTGTATGACAACCTGGGTGCCGAAGGGGAGCTTGAGTACACTACCCTTTCTCGTGTTAGGAATTTTATAAAGTGTAGCAGATTGCTAGAAACGACCACCGAGGCCAATCTCGTTAGTAAAATGTCGCTGTCTACGTTATCAAATGCTCCCTGAACATCCAAGAAAGCCGCTAGCACCTCTTTTTTCTCGCCAAATGCTTCGTCTACTTTAAGAGTCAAATTTACTAGATTATCTATGCAAGATTTTCCTTTCCTAAATCCTTGTTTGATTTGTATTCAATCCACCATTCCAATCGACTTTTGACCATAATTTCAAAAAGTTTGCATAAGCAAGATGTTAGAGAAATGGGTCGCAGTCCTTTTCCTTCTACTTTGTTTATGAAATGGACGACAGAAATTTTCCAGCTTACTGGGTATCTATTTGCCAGGAACATGGAGTTGAAGATATCTAACAGTAGAACTTTGAATTTCAAGGATAGATTTATTAAG